CACTCCTTTAAGAGAGCCATTAGCTGCTGGATGGACAAGCCATGCATATTTATTCTTCCTTCATGTTCAACAAGAAGTTCGAAGATGGCTTGCATTGCGTAGTCATTCGACACGTTGGTGTACAGTGCGGTAACGTCGAAAGACTCCATCACGTACGCGTTATTAGGAGACGCGTTACGTAGACGTTCTAGGAACATTTGCGTGCTCTTGAGGTGGGCTGGTATGTGGTTAAGGAACTGGGTAAATATTAGGCTTAGTAACCGGGTTATCCTAACCGTTGGCCTGTCTACACAGCTGATGATGGGTCTAACCTTGAATGATCATGGATTGATTGACGCAAGATCATTAGCTGATAGCAACTTGTGTTTTAATAAGTAGGTATAGAACTGGACATGTTGGTTTATCGATTTTAAAGTACGAAATAACCGACGCTTTTAAACCTGCAGCCATTGCGACGCTGACCCATTGATTGTTTCTCAGAGGATGGGCAATAGAGGGTAGAATCACTAAGATGTTCCTCCGTTATCTCAACATCCAGCCGGCGAGGGATAACTACGAACTCTCCCCCCTTATCACTAACAGACAATTTTATTGTTTTCGAGTTTATTAATTTTCTAATTTTCCCGCATGCCACATTTTTGTGTGGCTTTAAGGTTAGAGATAAACTTTCTATCGCGGTAGTGATCAAGGGTCTTGAGAACGCCGTCCGAAAACACGCGGAATTCTATGTCAACTCCATTGTTAGGGTCCTGCTGTCTAAAAAACGTTTTAGGGAAAGGAGATGGTGGTAGTGTCGCCGCCTCTTGATTTTTATCTCTATTGTATCCTTTGTGTATCCGTATAAAAGAACACCTAGATGGCAAACGAAAACTAGGACGAAGCACCCCACTAGGCACGCATAGGATACAAAAGCATAGCGGAGACGATTTTGAAGTAAAAGTCAATATCCTTGCACAGGAGTCCAAAACACCAGCGCGAAAACTCCTTGAGGCTTTTTGGATCAATGCCAAAAATCCTACAATAAATAGCAGGGATGAATGCCCGGAGGTTATACGCGACCTGATCCCGAACGTTCGCATCGATTTTTGATGTGGGATGGTGCAGTCGTCAACCACATGCGACTATAATCAGCTGTTCTAAACTTCCTCATTGGAAGTCACGAAAAAGCGGTGGGTTTTTCGAGAAGTTGTTGATCGTGTAATTACCAAAGAGTCTTTCGTCTTTGTGTAAGTGTTATTGAAGCGTTTGGCCTAGTAGGTTGTATATCAGTATACCCTTCCAGGCTCGCAAGAAGGCGATACTGCCGAAACGTCAGCTAGCGTTGTATTGTATTGTGTTTCTCTATGGAAGTAAATGTATGCTGTTTAAAAACCTCGCGATTGCTGAACAAGAAAACGACATCGCTATTGTTAATCCTGAATGTAAACATTTGAGACGCCTATCATAAATGTCTCAGATAGCCATCCTCTCTTATCAGTCAACATTCATGGTTGTGTTGTACTCGCGACGGAACGAATCACGAGGAAAGCTTGATTGTCTTTGGAAAAATTAGGACGTACAATAGTACTGATGGAATGGAACCCGGTGATGAAGATACGGAAGCTTTCTTCTCCAGTGAAATAATCTTACCGGTGAAATATGGCGGCACAGCTCTTCGTATTTCGTTTAAAAGGATCATTGATTACCATTCAATTGTAGACTAATGAAATGCGATGTGATCAAGAGTGAATGTTGCTATAATACCCTGTTCATACTAAAGTTATATAAGTATCACCAAATTTGTTAGGAACTTGACAGTGTTCACAGTAATCCGTCGAGCTACTTTTATTCTGCTCGTTCCATGGATTTTTTTGCCAGCTGCTGAGCATAAATTCTCAGTTGGATTCATAGCAATGTCAACACAATCACTGCGAAATCGAAACTGAGGTTGTGGCTTTCCGCTCGGTATACGTGCAAAGATAAGAGCTCCTTGTCAGTCATGCATTCTAGGGCATTAATGCACAAATTTTCTAAAGATAACCCTCTCTGCTAGCTACAATGAAGTACCTTCCAACATAATACACATGTTGTTATTAGTACAAGAAAAAAGCTTCTTCCATGAAAAAATTGTCATAGAAATGAGATTGTCTTGGGAAAATCAAAACCACGGGAGTGTTCAAGAAGGAACGTATGGAAAATATAGCAGAAGAAGAAGAAGAAAACCGAACCAACAAGGAACTGCGTGTGTAGGGGTTCGTCAGCAAATAGTACCCTTCTCTTAAACCTTCTTATACTGAATAGGGTATTATTCAGTGCCATAGGCTTGTATAGCCGTTACCCATCCGTGCTACTGTGCTTCTTGACACTAGATGGACACAAACGGTATGCGAGAACAGAATTTTCTTTAGTTACTTTTCCAAAAAGCTATTGAAGTTTTACGATAACGGGCTTCTTGACAAAAGTCCACTATTAAAGGACTTTTTCCGTGAAATTACGATAAAGATTGAAATTCTAGTTAACAAAGTGAACGTTCCGTCACCACAGCAAATCTCTACTGGCAATGTGAATTATCAAGGATACAAAGGCGTGGTGGAACTTTTCAAGTTTGTATTTCAATACTTCATAAAAGAAAGTTCCTACCATGTTCAAATGCCAATGTTGAGGCGTTTCGATTACTGTAATCACGTTTTTCTTTCAAGAAGAGTATTAAGATTTTCTAAGTGATCAGACAACGTTTGTCATTGAAATACCAATGATTCTTTACTTTGTTCCGTTTAAAACGGAACGTATTTATAGAAGCTCTCTGAACGCCACGGTCAGTCCATGCGAAGACTTCTATCACTACACTTGCGGGAATTTCAATACTTCCATGAGTTTCGACATGTCTGACAGCGAGAACGTGGATAACATGGTGGATCAGCTCATCGACATCAATTACGTCAACAGATCTGTGCGTTGTTCAACTTCCCATCAACAAACTCGCAGACCTTTACACATTTTAAAGCCATTAGTTCTTCTTTCGTATCCAGAGCGATTGCAATTGCCACTGTTAAATTAAACGCATATTTCTGAAAACCGTCTAAAATAGTGCAAAAGATCTCTTCCAGGGCTACACATTGAAACAAGAGGTGGATTCTAAGTACTAAAGAAGTGCGTGTGGAATTGAGTGTTACATTCTTCAGCACCACTCTTCGTTTTAGTTATTTCCAGCCCAATATGAGGCCCAAATCCAAGACGTTCATAAAAGATTTCGGTAGCTCTTAGGAAGTGCATAAATCAACTAACACAATACTAAACAGTAACGTTGACAGCAGCTATCAATCCTTCGATAAAATGCCGCGTGTACTCGCAACCTTCCCAAGCGAACGTGTACTTCATCGACTGCCTCCAGATGATCAAAGACGCCTACCCTTCAACAAAAAGGCTTTTCCTTTACAGTTATTCTTTAGCGAACGTATTTGGAAACGAAAGGTGGCCCCGATCGATGTTTGATCGCATGTTTGCTCCTTCGTTTCCTACCCACAAGTTGGGATGCTATCGGATTTCATCAGTTCGCAGTGATCCAGTGAATCATATACAGAAATAATAATTAACAGAACAGCCTTTCACTTAACCTCAGTGTGAGTTGTCAATAGATTTGCTCAAATTGTTCACTTTACACAAGGTTGTTAAACAACTTTTGCTCGGCCGATGTTTCGACGTCTTCGCCTTCTTCAAAGACGATGATCTGTGTTGTAGGTACTAGATTGCAGGAAAGCAGTTTCCTTACGCATAACCTCCGTATTTATTGATTATTCATATCAAGCTAAAGTGGAAGATGATTCTGTTAATTGTTAACTTTACACGTTATGAAACGCTTGAAATTACAGCCGGACCCGGTGAGGCAAGTGTCGTGGTATTTTCTTCAGTGTGTCAATGCCAGATTGAACTGGACGAATATGGTGAAGGATGGAGCAGTAGTGATGAACGCGATCAAACGTGTAGCGGAAGGTTCGGATGATTAATAAAGAAATTTATTTACAAATTCATTTTTAAAGAAATTCCCCACTTTTTGAGCAACAGCTTTCTTCTTGGAAAGTGAAAAAAAGTATTATTTAAAAATCTTTTGCTAACAAGAGGTCTGGAAAGAAGTTGTAAGGCAACGTATATTTCTTGTAGTTTGATCGTTAGCACAACTTGCAAAACCTGAAGGTGCTCCTTGATCGTACAAAACTTAATATGAAACGAGAAATTAAGCGACCCCACTCCAAAAAGGTATTTATAGGTGACCCAAGATCACTACAGGAGACACGGTTCCCATTCTACATGCTTTATCAAACAGAAACGGTGTTGGCCTTTCCCGACAGCGTTGGACTGGGATACCTGTTCGGTGGGCGAGATCTCGACCAATTTTCTAGCACAAAAAATGTTTAACAAGCTGTTTTTTTTGGGATACACATCTGGAGGAGAGGGTGCACCAAATCTGGTCACACCTTTTGTTGATACGAATTGGAAGGACCCACATGGGTGGAATGGTTATACGTATTTTATTGACCAACCAACAACTCTGCTGCCATACTCCTACCATGTGAAAGCATGGGATTTCTTTCAGAGACAGTACGTTTATTTGGTTCTCTTCTAGAATACGGAACTTGTTCAGTAATGAGGAAAAATTTGAACAAGTTGCTTATACGTGATCAAGTTAAGAAGATGGTCTTGAAATCTCACCTGTCCGCCCACGTACGGCAGAGCAGCTGAAGAAGGAAAACTTTAATTGAGAAATCAGTCTTTCAGAGTTATCGATGGAAGTGCAGAAAGATACACTTTCTGACATCTTTAGATGTATTGTGTGATTTTGGGAATTCAGGCTCTTCCAGCGTATTGTCAGCACGATGAGTCTGTTGGCTAAGACACAGAATATTAAACTAGATTTCCCGACACTGTTATCTGATGCAAAGGCGATCGTTGAATTCGACCATCTTCTTGCTACCACTTACAGGTTAGTTCTCCTCTGCATTTCTGCACGATATGCTTAAATATATTTTGAAATTTGACACCTCTGAGAGCTTTGTCGTAGAAAACTCCTTAGATCCGGAGCCATTTCATTTTTTCTTCACATTTCACGTTCTTAACAAAACTGTAGGGAAGAGGAAGCAGGTCGTAGTAAAAACTCCACTCCGTTCCACTCAAAAACATGCTTGTAGAGATTGATTAGAAGAGTACTGCTGTTTTCTTTTAGCACAGACGACACCACTCGTCGACACTACGATCGCAGTTATAATCCAATGACCATCGACAAACTGTCGAAAACTTATTCAAACATCAGCTGGACTACTTTCGTGTCAATGGTGAGACTATCTCTAAGTTTTGTGGTTTTCTTAGGCCTCCACAAACGACGTATTCGAAGTTGAGGGTGTAAAATTTGTGGCAACAAGTTGCAGCGAGGTAAACGGGAAACAGGAGATCCTAACTTATTCTGCAGTTCTACAGCTACTCTAAGAAAACCTCTCAAGCGTTGTCCTTCACGGTGGCAAGGGAATATTCCATGTCATAAGTTTATAATACACGACGAGAGTTCCCCTCATAGGTTGCATTCGAAGCTTACAACAAAGGCTCTTTTTTAGAGTGAGTTTCTGTGGGCGGTAAGGAAGTTGCAAAGACTATTACTTGCCAGAGATCTCTGAGCACTACAGGGCACCCAACGGACTTTGGAAAGAAAGTGTTCCGCTTCTTTGCCATTTCTTTAGGAAAAACGTGGTTGCAAGTAAAGTGCTGTTTCTGAACCTTGGTCATGCTTTAGGCAACGATTAATGCTCAGAACGTAGTGGAACAACTTCTTACTGATCCCGCATATCAGTACATAGTGATGGAGCCAGAGAAGCTGCAGAAACTCAACGATAAACTTGGTGATCCATCATGTAAGTGACGCAATACAGATTTAGTGAAAACCAACATTCTGTTGCCACAACACCATTAGCTGAATATTCTTTATCGCTAACACTAAAAAGTTACACAAATTCTGACGTTACTAATCGTCTACAGGAGCGCTTGTGTATTGCTAGTGTCTAGTCTTGGGCCAAGGATATTCACAGTGGCGTCAATTACATTGAAAGAACGATATTACAAAATTTTGCCGCTCAGTTTCGAAACGGAAGCCGTAAAAAAGGCAACGAATTAGATTGCTTAGGTCACTTCTGAGGTCACATTTGGTTAGACTTATTCCAACAACTAACACTGCACGACTTGATTTGGACTACACAATATTTTTCAGTTGTTTCGAGTCGTACTATTGTCAACTACATTTACTACCATGTGGTCGACGCAAACATGGAGTATCTTCCGTGGAAGCAGGTAGTTGCATGGAAATAAAGCCTTGATTGGAACTCAGCGATTATAAAAGGGCCCGAGCGAGTCTCCTCGCCAATCAAGCAATTATTCTAGAATGGGAAAAACTGGCAATAAAACAAACAAAGTGGTTGCCTTGAGAATGTAGTTTTAAAAGTAAACGGAACTCTTTCGGAGAATTTCAGAGCTCCTTAGAGAACACCGATTTTTTCTTCACTGAGCGACCACTCCTTGGAAGACCGCGTCGAATTCGACAAGGTGAGACCCTCTCCACAGTACTAATTGGAACTGTAAGTGGCGCACTAATCAAGTGTTGCTGAGTGAAGATCAAGTGTTAAACGAACAGTTCCCGGAAGAAAAATGGTTTGCTTTGAGCATTACACTTGAACATACTGCCAGCTTTAACAGTCAATCAATCACGAAAGCAGTTCCAAATATATGTAGACCTAATCGACCTCAGACTGACTTTGTTTCCAGAAAAGCGGAAATACGAGCGGCGACAACATGACGATACCCGCGAGGCTCAAGAAAGCTGCGCAATGGAGACCGTGTCCACCATGCCGGTATCAAAATAATTCCACTTTTTCTATCCTAATCTGTCCATCTTTACCAAAATAACTCGTGCATAATGCTGAGATATTTGCAAAACTCCGGGCCTCAGGTGTATGCGGTGGGGAACGAACGCGCACCATTGGCCTTACCGGGGAGTAGCGCACTTCACCACCACACCATCCGGGTCCTTCATTTCGCCTGTCTCTCAGCTAGTTCTATTGATCTTGCCGTCAGCAATCGCCCGTCAACGGGACTTATCTGGGGTGTCCAAATCGGCATTGAACGCAGTTAAGCCGAGGCTTAGTTATAATCACAATCTTAACCCTTTTATTTACTGCCTTTTTCTTTTTAATGGCAAGGTACGTTGCGAAATATAACTCGTGTATAATGCTGAGATATTTTCAAAACTCTGGACCGCAGGTGTATGCGGAGGGGAACGAACGACAACGACAAGGATAATAGCGTGTTGGTTCACCACCACAGACACCTGCGGTTCGGAGTTTTGCAAATATCTCAGCATTATATACGAGTTATATTTCGCAACATACCCTGCCATTAAAAAGAAAAAAGCAGTAAATGAAAGAGTTAAGATTTACCAAAATAATTGTATTTTAAGTGAAGTGTAGGCTAACTTCTTCGGTCACTAGTTCACCGTTTTCTTAATAATCAAGCACGAAGTTGTTATTGCAATATTTATTCATGCACAACTGCTGACGTCTCGGCGGTTTCGTCTTGTTTAGATCCTAAAAAGTTAAACATACACGAAGTCTACTCAACCGAACGCTTTCATAATATCAGCACATAAAACTAAATAGTCCTTAACTTTCCTTTACATTTTTTTAGGACAGGGTATGATGGGAAATGGAACCTAACGTAGGCCATTGGAAACGGTAATCATAGGTTTAAAGGCCTTTCTGAGGTTCCGAGTTTTGCCTACAAATGAAGGTTGATAGTATATTAATGAGATGGAGGAATTCTTCTTTTTGTATGCGATCACGACCAAAGGTAGATTAAACATCCCACAGCCGGGCAGCCCAAGGCCAGACAACGCACCCCGGGCAGCCCACGCCAAGGTTCCGCATTCTATCTACTTCTTGCCAGACCACTGCTCCACTACTTCTAGAGGTTGATGTCATAGTGTTACGTGTTCCACATATACTGGGACGGAGTCTTGACCACAGAATACTCCTAACGATTTGCCTCCGTATTTGACATCGCTTTGGAATCAGTAGAACTCAAAACAAAGGACCGCTTTGCTTCGATACAAAAGTCCTAGAGGTGGTCTCAGAAAAAAATAGCAGAAATGCAGCAACTCGTAGGTATATCGATTCCGAATTTTGTGGACTATTCACTATTATCAAGTAGTGGGGAAATGTGGATAGGGCAAAGAAGTGAAAGTTATACTCGACCATCAATTTCTGTCATGAAAAAGGGTAATGTTTATTTTTTAGCTCTGTAACCTCATCGGAAACGTCGGTCGTTTAGATCACAAAAGTTCTTCTCGCTAACGATTTGATAGAAAGTAAAAGGTTGAAAGTTGAGCCGGTAACCATTCCGCATTCAGTATGCCAATGCTCGTGTGTTTATCGACAAGATTTATCCGACGAACGAGTCACGCATCCAACTGCGCGAGCATGTAGCGAAAATGGTTTCAAGTATTCTGATAGGTAAGTTCTTCTGCAGAACCCCTTGGTCGGCTTCCGACAGGAGCGTCAAACAAACGATTTCTTTGCAGGCTTCCGCACTATGATTGACCAACTAAACTGGATGACATCCGCGACAAAAAAGGGTGCTTATAGTAAAATCGACAATCTCGTGAGAAACATTGCCTATCCGGACTGGATTACTGATGACGCACAGTTTACTTCCTATTATAAAGTGAGATTTATAGGGAATATAAAAATTTTATGTTTGCAAAAATAGGTCTCGTCCCATCGATGGGATCGGATTAGAATGTTCCGAGGGAAAAAAACAATAAGGGTTCGATTCTATAGATGAAGAAGTTTTCAAGAGTTCCAAACTTATTAGCACAAGCATATAAACGCATGATAAAAGTTCTAGGCAAAAACATCTTCGACAAGACAATTCCTCTCTCTCATCACATTTTCTTTTATAGGACATTGACATCCAAGTGAACCGCGATGATTACTTGACGATTATGCTGAAAATTGGAGCTTTCAACAGTCTTCTCAGTTGGAATTTGCTAGTTGCTGGGTCGACAAAACGTCAAGACTTTAATGGACCTCCGGGCACGACAAATGCATGGTATCAGGTAGCACTGTGCACTCAGCTTGCTTACGATCGATGGTTCTATAACTGAGCTAAGCAAAGCCCGACATTGGTAACATTACCAGCTCAATAGTGTTCAAATGGATAGCTAAAATCTAGAAAAAATCAATGTATTTTCTTGCAATGGTAACTGAAATGAGGTTGTTAGTAAAATTTTTTGACTAATGTTCCATGGGTTCGCCTTCTTCAGAACCGAAGTAATCAGAGTCGATTGTATACAGGCAATCGTCACCGGTATGTGGCTCTTCGTTGTCTCATCGAGTGTTAGTGAATTTTAGAAACACTACTGTTTTCAGCATGTCGAATCTCCAACGTGTCGAATCTCGTTTTGTGTAAAGGAATTGGTTTTGCCGTCCGAGACATCTTGCTTACGTCGACGGCTTCATGAATAACACGGACTATTCCACGTTCTCTATTCGTAGATTTCTCCTGTGATCTTTCGGTAAAATGGCAGTCTGTTTTTTGGCATGGGACGTCCGTTCATCCCATCTTGTGATCGTTTAAAGCTGGCTGTTGCGAACGCCACAAATACACCTGCTCACCTTTTAAGTGTTCATCATACTTGAAGCTTTCATCATTCCGCCGTAACCTCGACTAATCGTTTCACCCATCCATTGCCAGATGCCACTTTGTTGTACGACCGGCTAGCTTCTTGTGCAACGTCAGATTTTAGAAAGCATCCTTCAAGTACTCCACAGGTGGTGCATAGAATCTTCGAAGTGGCTGCACTATACCGGAAAAGGAGAACAGTTTGGACTTCGTATAGCCACTCAGAGATGTTACCATTTAATTAATTTCATTGTTTTGAAGCATAGACGTTGCTTAAAAAAGAGGTCAAGGTCAATCTATTCTCAGACCGTAATGGGAGGCGATTTGCCTCTATGTGAGTAGTTTGCTACAATGATTGCGGCAAAGAAAAAAAGTTGGGGCTGATTTGCTCTTAGTTAGGCCTCAGAGAGCACAATGTTAAGGTAATTGTCAATTGGGAGGCCACCTTAACGGTGAACTCTCATTTCACGTTGTTACTTGACACCAATGAATAGCGCTTTAGCACTGGTTTCGATGAAGCAGTTTGAACTAATGGAGGAGAATAAGGTTTCGAGCAGAATTGTCAGAATTCCATGATACTCTATTAGATCAAATGGAAAACATAGCTTCTCTTTTGGAGATCCATATTTGGCTAACGTGAAAACAACTGAGCATAAATTAGCAAATCTTCGTACTTTTTACCAATGCTTTGAAAATGATCAATTCTCTTACAGTTTTTACAAATTACAGCCTCAACTAAATTCGATCACTTTTCCTGCCGCCATTCTTCATCAGCCGTTTTACGATCCAACATGGCCAACGGCAGTGAATTTTGGAGGACTGGGTGTAATTGCAGGCGAGTTCACGTTTTGCTTGCCTTCTTTAATACATATGCATACGTACATGGAATACCAAATGTTACGAAATGACAGATGTGTGTATAGCATAGTAGTCTAGTGAGAGGTGCTCTGCAAGTGATAAATAGGTAAAAACACTGATTTGATACCTCGGTGGGGGCCACCACAAGTCGTTATATAAGCCGAACATGCTTTTAACCACTTAAACGACGCTTAATGAACTAGGATGCCCACCGCATCCCTCAGATATTGATAAATGTCGAGTGCTTTATCCTTTACCTTTTGCTGGAACTTTCTTACCTGTTTATTAAAAAAAGTCATGTATCTGATCTTTACATATCAGAATCCGTGGCATTAGACCTTAATGGATCGAAACACACTACCATAACCTCGACTGACATCGAATATCGAAGTATTATAATCGAACTTAGCGACATTAGTAGAGACTGAGAATAGTTCTCGGTTCCACAAGAATTTTTGCATTTTTCTCGTCTGCAGTACATTAGACAGTCCGGCAGTAGTGATAGCGTGCCGCAAATAGCCTCAACCTCTGAATAGCCCCTGAAAAGCGCGTTTTTTGGCGTTCGCCGCCGAGAAATCATCCGCGTGCGGAAAACTCGTCCGCGGAGGTGGTATCTTATCCGGCGGGTGCCGGCGCGACTAACTAACTGACAGCCGGATGGAAACAACATCGGAGGAGCGAAAATCGCTTTTTTTGGGGTTTTGTCGATAACTCGTCCGCGGATGAAGTATCCAGCGTGGGCTTTTGCAGGTGGGCGTGACTAGATGACAGCCGGCTGGAATATAGCGAAAGTCGCGTTTGAAGGCCTTTTATAGCGTCGGGGCGGATAACTCCTCCAGTTCGAGTGGGCGGTTGTCTTTTGCGTTCTTCTCGCTTAAAACGCATTTTTGGGTGATTTCCTGGCGCGGAACGCCCACCCCGTGCCCACCCCAGATATCATTGCCATATTCGCTAAGCAGTCATCATATTCAAGTTGAAATTCTATCAGCAGTTCAAGAAAGTATTTATAATCTAAAAAGTGGTGTATTGAGTGCATCGTGAATCTGTACCAGTGACTATAGCCAAGAGGTTAACTAAAAATATTGTCCAATTCTCCTTTACTGAGGCCTCCCTAATGGGATTAGTCGTGAAGCTACTTGGCACGAATATGTTACTTAACACCTGCGCTTCAGCTCGATGGAAGTCGATATTTCAAAATCTACAAAGCCCTTGGTTCCAGGAACAGCCCAGCTAATACGCTAACGAGAAATCGACTATGCCTTAGGCAATCGGCAGCTAGCGCTCGAATTTGTAAAGCTCCACGGAAAGGCCATAAAAGGTGATCTTGGGAAGAAGGGCAGCAGTAATAGCCAAAGCAGCAAATACTGGAAAAGTAACATTCGTGATGTCCGCCGAAAATTCGCTATTCACAAGGCTAAAATGATCACATTCCGACGTCAAAGCGAAGTTAGGCTGAACTGGACATGTAATGCTGTCAAACGCACAGCAGGAAGAATATCAACCCTCGATGGTCGGTGTTCTTCATGAAAAACTAGAGAAAAAGATTGATGCTTGTTGAGTCCCTAGAGCGAACAGAACATACTGGACTGTTCTTGCAATACGCAGAGACAAATGGAAATTTAATGGAACCGGCTCGAGTCATGCGATCGGTGATATAGGTGATCGCCCAGTAAACTTTACCCTTAAAGGTTCATTTTTTTCTAAGAAGCGCAGTTTTGAACTAACAAATTTTTGGTAGGAATTATCTAGTAGAATAAATAAAGAGTGAATGTCCTGTCCTGGTAGGTGACTATCGGTTCCACCGCTGTGCTGTTAAGATTAACGCTAATAGTACTTTATCTTCTGCATGCTGCAGTACGGTTGTTCCTTGTCGGCAGAACTATCGTGGAATTCACAATGTTAGACCTTCCACTTAGTACTTATTATTTTTTCACAACAGGGTATTATGTGAAGCACAACCACAGTGATGCTGAGATATCTGCAAAACATGGAACGCAGGGAAAATTCGAATTTGGGACTGCCCTTCCTAGGAAATCGCGTTGCCCATTGCACCACCGAGGCCCATTCCCTTAAACGCACCCATTTTTCTAGACAAACGGTGCCATGAACAATCACCCGTCAACGAGAATGACCTGAACAGCACAGTACCAAATATAATGGAACTCAATGACTTTTACTACCTTACGTTTTTTTCAGGGATTTCGCGATCGCTAAACCTTTGGTCTTTTCAAAAAATTTTAAAATTTCATGGAGTGATTGAATAAACCCTAATAAAAAAATGTTTATTTCAATTATTTCAAAATCGATCTAGCAAACTACATCTTTCTGCTTATTTTCTCAGCAGTGCGGAATTAATTTTTACTTCTGCATGCCAATGTTGAGAAAGTGATAGAGTCTACTACTTCTTGCTGATCGCTTCACCTTGAAAGAACACCGATGGTTACACCTTTTTATGTGAGGCGTTGAACGCAGACTTTCTTTTAACTGAGACTGCTAGTTTTGTAGACTCTTAAAATAGCCGGGCCGTGGTTAGTGATCTAGTCAATCAGGAAGCAATATGCTAGTTCGATCTCTTCTCCAACGCTCTACCTCCAACATTCGTCGAAAGGCCTTATCTCGGCTATATCCAAGATTGCATGGAAAATCACTGGAACGGCAACTCACGGCATTCATAAATCAGACGAAACCCTCAAGCGGTAGCCAAAACAACACGTGAAATGTTCGAAAAACTTAGTGGACGATTAATGTGGGTAAAACGAATCGAATGCAAGAAGTGCTGAGATCCGCGCACTAGATGTGATGACGAGTTAAATATGACAAACAAAAACCACTTTATCTTTTAACAGCAGTTTGACAGCCTTCTTTGTTAAGCATCTAATTTTAAAGCGCAAAACACGTGTTTGAAGACTAATTTTTAGGACATGAACTGACTCATGGATTTGACGATGAAGGGGTACAATGGGATGGCACAGGAGTGCTCAGAGGGTAGGTGTTTTTTGCTAATTAATGGAGATTGTTCAAAGAAGAAGAGTCAACTTTCTTCACTTTTTCTGCAACATTTCTTTTATGTGCTTCCCTTTTTTCAAACAGTTTCCTTTTTTCATTAATCGAAATAAGCAGGGTCCTGGTAGTTTTTTACGAATTTAATGAGAAATCTGTACAGATGGATGGACGACGCCTCAAAAACTTCTTTTGACAGTATGGCCCATTGCGTGGTAAAGGAGTACGACGAGTTTTGCCCGCTCAACAAGACTGCTTATGGAACGGCTGCATGCCTTGATGGAGCTCAAACTCAAGGAGAAAATATTGCCGATAATGGCGGTATAATTTGTATGCTTCCAAAACAGTACTCTCAACTCACACCTGAAAAGCAGTCGAAAATTACAAAGATGACAAATCAATATTAACGAAGAGCACAAAAGTGCGGCTATTTAAGCATTTACAAGCAAGAACATCTTTTTGCGAGAACAAAAATATAACGGCTAGAAAATTCTTTGATTCGTCTTGAATTTCAAGGAATTCATGCTGCTTATCGAGCTTACCGCAATTTCATCAATCTTTACGGTCCGGATCCTCAGCTTCCCGATGAAGTGCTGCAGGAGTTCACCTCTGAACAACTCTTTTTTCTCAGTTTTGCTCGGGTATGTTCATTAGTTTTACCCAATTTGAAAAGTAGAGGTACACTAAATATATTCAATCTACCATGAAATTATTGACAGTTAATGTGCTTTTCCACAAACGAAAATTTGAGTCTTAGAAAATGAACTGCTCTTCTTAAAATTTGCTTTATATGAGCCTATCATCTCGCAAGTGGTTACAAATATCCTTTTAAATTGCATTTTCGAAATTGTTGTGAAATGATTCTTTGAAAAATAAAGGACAGAAGGATAAAGCTATTGGCGTTGACCAATCCCTGAGGGGTGCGCTATGCACCCGACCTCATTAAGCATCGTCGGAGGTGATTGAATGCATATGCAGCCTTAACAAAGTCTCGCAGTGGGCTACAGATATATCGATTCAGTGTTGCTATCCTCCTAGATAAGTCTGGTACCAATTTGCCGATCTTGCAGGAGTGGACGACTTGGTGAGCATAGGGCGCCGAGATCGATCCCATGAGTATTGCAGAGCGCCTCCGACCACTGCTCCATACGCACCCGTTTGAAACAGTCAGAAGTAATAAAAAAAAACTATTTTTTAAGAGGTAGGAGATATAGCTGGATAAAAAATAATCCCGGACCTCCAATACCACGGTAGTGGTAAAGAAGTTTGCAGTCATACATTAACTTTATCAGTGAGCCCAGTCGACTATGCAGTATGCTGATGCAACAGCAAATGTGTGTGTTACCTCAATACAGAATGCTTAACTTTTTAAGATTTACCACATGGGACTTTTGTGGGTTGCATCTGAGTGCGTCTCAATCTTGGGCAACTAAACGTCATGCATTAATAGTACGACAATAATAAATTAGTCACGATAGCAATGTACTGCATGCACGTGGAGACTTAAGAGTGACTTCGACACATCGGTAGTGCAAAACAATAACGGCCTTTCATAGCCAGATGAGTTGGAAAGATCACGAAGAAGAAATAAGATCACTAACTTTTGGAGACTTCTGAGTATCGACTAAGCGCAGATGTTGTGAAGGAGACGTAACCATTCCTATCGAGTTTTACAACCACTTTTCAACTAACTATTACTATGAACCTTACAAATGATTTTAGCAAATTAACTTTGGAAAACTGTGCATAAATAAAATAAAAAGCACTTGATAGTTCTAAAACATAGAGAATATTTTCTTCGAGCTAAGTAGTAGTTTCTATATCATCCGAGAAAACTTGGAAGAGAAAAAATATGCAGGCTCCATGCGATAAAATTAGACTCTTTTTTACACTTTATGATGTGATGTTCATAGTCTTAGTAATTATAGGTGTGGTGTCAACAGCCGTCTCCCGATCAAAGTCTTGAATTGCAAATCCTTCTTGATCCACATTCACCAGCAAAGTACAGAGTCTTTGGAACCATTCAGGTGCCCATTCTATCGCTCTGAATAATTAATGATTGCGTTGCGAGATGGCGGTTGGTATGCAAACGTGGAAAAGAGGCTGAAATCGAATACACACGCACGCAGTGGTTGTCTAAGCATGTGCAATAAGACATTGTTTGTAATTGAAAGCTTGAATCTTAAAAGGTGTTATGCAAGGGTTTGATTTCCTGTTTTTTTTTTGATAACATCCAGGCAAAATCAGTATCAGATTGAATGGGATTATTACACGAGCAAGCAGTTATTTATTCCATAATGCGCAGATCAACCGTCACCGATATCACGACTACTCCAATTTATCGTCTACCTAGCCTGTTAGAGTGTTCAGATCCATTGATATGCCCGCGTTCCTATCTTATCTTTTGATAACCATAGTGATGCTGAGATATTTGCAAAACTGCGGACCGTGGGTGTATGAGGTGGGAACCGATCATGCTATTACTCTTGCCGAGGGCTAACCCGTTCACCACCACACCACATGATTCCTTCGTTTCACCATTCTCTCAGCTGCGTTATTGACCTATGGGTGCTATCAGCCCATCTTTTTAGTAATTTATAGCAACGACGGAGATTTTTGCACTGAAATTATGCTAGCTAATAATCCCGTTTCTGTTGCTTTGAAATCGAAGAGTGCTTTTCATTATTATCCTAGCAGTGTACTACCGAGAGAAATCTCATTAAACTACCTCCTTTCACGTAACATTGTTTTCTATCACAAGCCGAAGGCCACCCAAAAAACTTTTTAATGATTGAGTTCCAATAATACCGCCCATTCAGCCATGTAGTCGATGTGGCTACCAAGCTGTTACCTGCAGTGGTACCTACAGTAGTAATAATATGTGAAGCCCTGAGTACACAGAGCTTACCTTTATTCTGTGGGAATCTGAATCCCGAACGTTAGTTGATTTCCATGTGTTAGGAAATTGAAAATTCGAAGAGTTCGTCTATCCATAGGATTGTAGTAGGGGGTAAATATGCGTGCAAGACCTAAAAAAGTAACGAATTTGTTTTTGCTTATCAGTAAAACCAAACAGTAAAAGCTGTTGCATCCTAGAACTTCGCCGCCTTCAAAGACGCATTCCATTGTCCATCGTCCGCCTATGCTCCGGACAAGCACTGCGACGTCTGGGTTTCCGATATCGATTCCTGTAAGTGATAGCAGTACACATTAGCTTTTAAAGCAAAATATTAGTTCAGTTTATGTGGACATGGGAAGCTTTGGTTGTCGCACTAGTTTTTTGGAAGCTGCTGTACATGTGATGGCCCTAGTTAGGAAAATTGTGAACATAATATTGTGGTCGTCATAGTTAAACTGATCACTATGGGAACATTTGCGGATCAGGGCAATTTCTTCTTTCAGTGGGGAAAAAGTAATGGCAAAAATTCAACGTTTATGACAGTTGTATGATGGGGTATCGACGCCCTAAATGTTTCTCCAGAAATTGATGGGCGCATATGAGTTGGTTATCTCAACGCACTATTTACGGCTATTCTTGAGAAACATGGAATGCCAGGAGGGCTTTTAAAAAGTGGAGAATCACGAAGCTAACTTTCTTTTGACTCCAACATTTATCACTAGTTCGACGTTTTTATTGGTAAGCAAACACGAGCTTGCTATTAGGCATTCATCGATACACAGTGGCTGACGTTTCGGCGGCTTAGCCTTCTTCAGAGCATGGAAAGGTCAAAATTGACATGCCATCTACTTAGCCAAACAATTTCATAACCTTATGAAACAAGACTTAATACACAAAGTCTTATTCGCATAATAAAGAGCTTCTTTTTAGAAAATGATCGTCTTTGCTCTTTGTAAGTCCTCCAGTTATTTAGTGGAGAGCACCCACACAAAATCTTACACTTGCGAGGATTGTACTCGGATCAAAGAATCAGCCTGAAGTATGGGCTGGTCACTCGTGATTATAAGGCACTCCTCTTCATGGTTTATCTTTAGGTTTTTAGAATTTATCCAAACGCTTTAAGAGTTTTACGCGCTGATGTTTTGGATACCTGTGCGACCATTGTGTTTTTTACTTCGAATTCTCCACTGTGTCTTCTGTCCTATGTGCTTCTTGTAGGGCATTTGGCTTCACTTTAAATTTACCGACTAGGTGTTTTTTATAGGGATGCAGAATGGTCTGCCCGTTTAGCCTGCATGATCGTCCCGGTATCTTGTGATCACGCTTGAGCTATTATCACACCTCAGGATAATTCGTTAACCTGAGCTAAGCACATTCCTCTTCCATGTAAAACTGTACGGCTGGTCTCCACCAAAGAACTGGAAGACTTGCAGATGGCAAAGCCATAAGTCTTTAAAAATAAAGTGTTTATTGTGTGAGTGAGAAATTTATGTGCTAAGCTTTGGCTGCTAGGTTATGAAAGTGTTTGGCTGAGTAGATTGCACGTCGTTTTGACTCTTCCACACTCCGAAGATGGCGAAACCGCTTAAACGTCGGCTATTGTGTAATAATAAATGCTGTAATAACAAATTCGTGTTTGCTTATCAAGAAAACAATGAATTTTAAAAAGCGCGTTTTTCTATCCGCATTAATGGAAACATAGAGACTCATTTTCCATCATTTTCAGCCTGTGGTCAACCAGTAGTGAGGAGCGAGTTGAACATTCAGATGAACGAACAGATCACGACCAGCGACATCGACAAGTACAACGCCTACAAAGAAGCGGTTTCCTTCTACCAGGTGAGATGTGGGTCATAGAGGTTATGTTAAAACGATAACCAATGACGATACTGTTGGGGATACTTGCGCACTTATAGCAAACAAAATTGTTCGAGGCTTAGTTTGTTAAATATGAATAATCTCGAGGGGTTGAGTGTGAGGGGAGAGATCGATGTTTGATGGCAAACATCAGTATGGAAAAACATTTGCTAGCCAATTTTATGCCATGACTTTGAAAGGCATATATAGTTTTTCTCCTAATTCCTCTTTTATTTCAGCCATCTGTGAATACCTCGGCCGATCCATGCAATGATTTCTGGCAGTACGCGTGCGGAAACTACAACAAGTCGGTAAGCAGTGATTTGTTTAATGGTTCCAGGAAAAGTTAAAAATGAGGAATGCGTTTTGTTATTTTGTGGCTTTGTTAGTTTTGAAAGCTTCAGTTTTCTTTTAAACTTATCGTGTTTGTATTGAAAGAGTGTTAATAAATTTCAAACCAAATAGGCGCATGTCATTGTACGAAAAAGCAGCTGTTCGTGCAGAATATTTTCCCCGAAAAGAAGAAAAAACAGTCCTTATCAAAACAGTTTTTTTGCTTCTGAAAAAGTTTTGGTGATCCGATATTTGGTGGAAGAGGATGTAGTAGAGTGCAACGCGGCGCCAGTCGTGCGCTCGGGGTTCGCGGTTCGGGAACGCTCATGCCATCGCGACCATATCTTGATCGGGCTGGAGTCAATTCGTTGTGTCTTCTCTTTATGGAATGTTACACTGTAAGTAAGATATTTGATAAGTGGTGTAACACTTTAAATATCTTGTCTATTATAACGGGCTTATAGATTTTTTTTGTAGGTCAATCAACGTGATTGAACTCAATTATGATTTTTCAGAGACGTCGATTTCGCTTTTCCACCATTTGTCTTTAATTCTTTACCTTAGTTGTGCTTTCACTTTTGAGTCTTTAATTCACTTCAGGTCTCTTTCCATTTCGCCGACGCCCATAACCTCAAAATTATGGCTGAGCAGTTGAATAGCCCATCTTACCAAAGCACGATCAAGGTTTTACAATACTCAGGTACTATTGAGCTCTGCACGAAGACGGTGAACGTTATTCTTAGGCGTCCACGGCTTTAACGAAAGAGAAAGCATTCTCGGATGCCTGCATCGCTGCAACACGGAACAGTTCCGCCGAACACAGCATTCTCGTCTCCAACAACTATTTGCTGCCTCGTGTAGGTTTTCTTTTTGGTAGAGTTTTCTTTAATAGTTCACAAGATTGACTTTCTATTAACCTTGGCATCGGATTATGAATGTTTCGTTTTCTTTTTCAGCAATCGCGAGGTTGTTATTCAGCACACGTTTACTTCCTTACACTTATAACACATACAACACAGCGGTAGCTGTCGTTTCGGCAGAATAACCTCCTTCAGAGCCGCTTTTTTCACCTCTCTTCCACCGAGGATGAACAGCCGCTCAGAGTCGCATATGGTTGACGACCATTGTGTTGTATGTGTTCTGTTTGTATGGAAGTAAACGCGTGCTGAATAACAACGTCGCGATTGCTGGAAAGAAAGACGATACAGTTTCCTTTATTTTAACCCTTTTATTTACTGCTTTTTTCTTTTTAATGGCAGGGTATGTTGCGAAATATAACTTCCACAATGCTGAGATACTTGCAAAACTCCGAACCGCAGGTGTCTGCGGTGGTGAACCAACACGCTATTATCCTTTCCGGGAGTAACGCGTTCACCACCACACCATGCGGGTCCTTTGTTTCGATCCCGTTGATGAATGATTGCTGATGGCAGTGATCGATAGAGCTGGCTGAGGTACAGGCGAAACGAAAGACCCGCATGGTATGGTGGTGAACGCGTTACTTCCCTGGAAAGGTTAATGGCGTGTTCGTTCCCCGTTCTTCACTATATAAATACAGTGTTTAAGGTATCGTGTGCTATTATGTCGGCCATTAAGTAGGCACCGATGTCGGTTTTCATGAACTACATCGTTGAGTTCTCACTGGAAGCTTCCGTTAATTGCTATCATTATAGTCCTTCAAGTTTTGGACGGCTTGAGACAGCGAAAAAATTTAAGAGGCGATTGCTAGGCACTTTCTTAAGGCTAGGTAAACTCAAAAGGAGTATACCGATATTTACTGAGTAAGTCTGGAGCTTATTTGTTGGCGCCCGCCTCATTCCTCTATGTATAACATTTCCACCTACCTGGATATAGATTTTTCGCTGATTTTGTCAATCTAGCGTAGCATAAAAATGGACTCTTTCTCTGAATCCAATTGCCTCAAAAGGCAATTACATCTTTCCCTTGGCTCAGGTTTTTCACCATTTGTCCGCCATGTGATTACACACAACATCACCTCGCGGCTTCATGCCGTGGCTCTATTTATACTTTTTGAAGAGCCTAAGAATTATGACATCTCAAATGATAATACATACTTTTCATAGCTACCGATGTAGTGTGCAGTTTGGCTGAACGTATCTACGGGAACGATAGAATCCAGTCATGAATCCTCTGAAGACAATCATTGATAGCAGCTTCTGTTTGAGAGAATTTTTCAGTTATCTCCAGTTCTGTTAAGGTGAAGCAACTGGCGATGTACCTAGGATCGAATTTCACTTACGCATTCGGAGGTGAAGTAGGAAACCTGCCGAATAGCACTCAAGTGGCCAATGCTCTTTCCTATTTGTCATTCAATCAGGTACTCTTTTCCTTGTTTTATAGGTAGTAGCCGTAAATTATTCGTTCAAAAACTGTTCAGAATATTGCCACTTTGGTGACTCCTTATGTGGACACGAATTGGATAGATCCCGCGGAGGGATACAGAATGTTCTTGGACCAAAACACTGCTTTTTTGAGGTATAAATTCATTCAAGGTCGACGTATTCAGTGTTATTTTCCAATAATCTTTGCCTAACTAAATGAACAACAACCGCTGTGAAAACGGACACGTCCTTGAGACAAATCTTGAACATCACGTTGTAGTTCTAACAAATCTCTTAGAATTCCCACTTCTACACTATTTTTATTATATGATCCGCAACCAATCGCGTAACAATGTGCAGACCTAGCACTTCTTGTATTCGATTCGTTTCTTCGCATCCACATTTCAGAAAGGTCTTCCAACATCTTGTGTGTGGACTCTGCTGCCTGTTGAGGATTTTTCTTTCTTTACGAATGTCGTTGAATGCTGCTCAACTCGATTCTTCCTTGAGTCCTTTGATAGTCGTGCCGACGTGTTTCCACATGGACTAGAGGCAATAAGGCTGTCCCAAACAATTCTGGTACCAATTTTCGACCCCGCAAGGATAAACAACTTTGTTAGCCCAAGTTGGGATCGAAACAGGGCCTAGGTAAATTTGGCCACCCACATAACCAGAAGGATCACTACCATTGCGCTGCACGCTTGGGAATTCCAATTATTTGTCGTAAATCCCGATAGCTAAACACGTAAAAAGTGAAGAAAAAAAAGAAAGGACTTCGGTAAGAGATAGAAAGTCCAAAGGTTCTTTATGAGCCATAGATAAACATGGAAAAGCAGCTAAGCTACCTGCAGATAAAATTGATTAAAAGTTCTCAGAAGTGCCAGAAGCGAATAAGTGAAAACCTCTATTTGTTAAATTTTATTTTGTCTCGTTTTCTTGTATTCAACCAGTCTTCACTTTTACTGCCAGGATCCAAGCACTTCTCAAGTTCGATTCGTTTCCTCGCAGCCATCATGCACAAAAGTCTTCCAACCTTTATGCGTGGCTTATGGTGCTGCTTGAAAATTCTCATGTCATCTTAAATGTCGTAGAATGCTGGCCGAGTCGATTCACCCTGGACCCTTGGGATATCCTGGCTAGAGCGTTCCTAATTGGATTGCAAGGAGTGATTTTTCCCAGACATGTCCGGTGCCAATTTGCCGACCCTGGAAGCACGAGAGGCTTGGTGAGCCTGATACGGAATCGAACCAACACCGTGCTCGTGGTGATCGGCATCACTACCGCTGTACTATATGTCCCAGGTGAAAAGCCTTCAATAATAGATAAACGTTGGCATACATTGCTAAAAACGTATTCTAAGGGGTGTTTCTGGTAAGGTGATAATCTGGTAAAGCAAGACTAAACTAGCAGGAAAGTACTATTAGAGTTTGCTAACTTTTACAGCAAAACGTACTATGTTCCGAATGCTTTTAAAACGATCGAGGACAATTACGTCAAGTCCACCACAGCTGTGATCGAACGCTTTATGAAGGAACAGGTACAATAAGCCTTCACTTTTGTGGTTACCAATAACTTAGCTGTATGTCAAGTTAACACCATGTTCAGCAACTAGCGGAGGATCCCAACCTCAGCGCTAAAGTACGGGGTCTGGTCGAATTCGAGCAAATGATTGCCAATACCTTCAGGTAAACAAAGTACATATCGGAGCTGGATTAGCGTTTTGTATTTAGGTTCTTGAATCTGCTATTCTTAAATTGTGCTTCGTGGTTTTTGAAACGAACACGAATTAAGTGTACTTATTTCCATACGTTTTTAACATTGACCCACCCCCATCACCCCGTTTCTGACTGCAAGGTCAATTTTAGGCTATCTACCTTTCTCAGAATGGATGCGTACTCTTTTCATCACCCTTACAACAAAAGAATATTTCCACTTTTTTGAAAGTTGCGCAAGGACGTTAACGCTACAGTATAAAGTGTTAGGAAAGTTTTGTCATTTTCAACCTTCACTATTCACACACATTCACAATCTTTGTGAACTTTGCTATGAAAAAATATCGTGTTCTTGTTGGAATAATAGCGGTTTCTTATCTCAAATTTTTCAGCCACTACGACCTGAGTTATGCAGGGTGTGGTCGAACCTTATCATCGGGCAAAAATAACCTCTTTTAATTGTATAGCGTGGGTCGTAGACGATGAAGCTGTTGATGCACTTTTCCGATCTCATTCCAATATTTCTCCATTTTATTTCGGCAGAATTCAAAATGGTAAAAGTTGGCTTTATCTGCTGAGTAGCAAACAATCAAAGTGATTTTCTTCTGATCCAACTTTGGTTTTGTTCCACTTCTTGCTCAACCAGTGTTCCGTTGTCGTAAGTTCGTGAAGCAAACGGATCTGATTCTTGAAAAGGCGCAGAAAAGATTTCATTACGACGACCACTTTGCAATCCGTACAGTTCACGCAGAACTGGCTTGTAACTTTTTAACCTCGAATTCGGTTGGTATGTTACGGAAATAATTTTCTGTATGATTAATCTCACGCGAGTTGGTAGAAAAGCTTTTATTCCTCTAACGTTCCAGTGCCTTCGCCTTCCTCAGAGCCGTATTGGTCTAAGTCGGTAGTCGACAAGTGATTGTTATAGCGACAGAGTGTTCGTAGTCGCATCGAAACGAATTCAGTGGAGGAAGCACAGCTCGATTGGGGAACTTCACACGGCAGTGCCTTTTATACAGGAAGGGTGTTGTTCGATAATCGCCATCCAATATAAAGATATTGGCACGCTTAGTGCGAACAAATGCACTGACTGCTACTGGATGCGTAACCCTCAAATACGCGGAACAAATTCGATGACGGCAATCGACCAGCGTCTGTTCTCTATAAAAATGTACTGTGGAGTGAGACTTCCCATTCAAGCGCTGCTCTCTCCACTTAATTTAACTCTGTGCTACTACGATCACTCACTTCGCGACCAGCTATGGACCATAGGCTCGTGTCAAAGCGGTTCTTTAGATGGCGAAGGCGTTGAAACGCTTACCGTACAAAACTTTTATTCTAACCTCGTTCCAGCTGAATAATGAAGAGAATTATTGATCATTGTTATCAAGATTTAATGAAAGTCGGTTTTTAAGATGTCCTGAAAATGTTGTCTTGCAATGTTAACTTTTTATTTGCTTACTACAATTTTTTACGGCTAGGTACCATGTGAAATACAACCATGATGGTACTGAAATATTTGCAAAACTCCGGCCCACAGATGTCCGCAGTGGGGAACGAAGGTGCTATCAGCCTTTTCGGGGCTAACGCGTTTATCATCATACCATACGGGTCCTTCGTTTAGCGTTTCTCTCATCTAGTTTTCTATCTACCAGTGCCAGTATTATTCACCCATGGGATTGATTTGGAGAGCACAAATCGATAATGAATTCAGTTAAGTTGAGGATGTAGTTGAAATCACAGTGTTAACTTCTTATTTGCTACGTTGCGTTTGTTTATTGTCTTGGGTTCATTGAGCGCTTCTAGGCGCACTCATGGCGCTGAACGTGCACCTTCTTTGGCTAGGTTTCTCAAGATGTAATCGTAACTGGTGACAGCTTGTCTCCCACAAAATTGATTTTTATGGTTCTCGTCTTCATTAGAGAACTTCGGAAACCAAGAGTATATGTCCGCTCCTCTATGTCCAATAAACGTAAAGTCGCCAGAGCATAATTTAGAGATGAAGGCTATAAGGATTAAAATGACGTACCTGCAAATGCTTTCCTCAGAACCAGTCAACTTGCCAAATATCAAATTTTCTGCAGACGCTCAGATTTGGGTCTCCTTTCGAAACCCACAGGGAAATTTTTACAAAATAAAAGGCGTTCCATAACTTTGCAAGGTTTATCAAGATGTATCTGATGCTGGCTAGACTGTTTTCATTCGAGCAAAATAGTTTATTCGATAGGGAACCGCTTTGAAATGCTCCGAAAATCATGTAGCAAGTAGATTGTACAATATTATTTAAGCCTTAGACTGAAAAAAATTCATAGTTCATTACAGTACGGATGACACAACACGGCGCATGTATGCACGGTCCTGGAATATGATGAGTATCGGCGATCTGCAGGACAAGTTTAATTTCGTTGATTGGAAAACGTACTTTAGTCAGGTTAGGCCAAATTTACTAGTTTCATTCAAAAGAACAAGTTTTTACAAACAAAATTTTGGATAACTCGAACATAGTTAATCTTCCTAAAAATTTCACGAGCTATCAAGCACAGAGAATGGTAGCTTGATGCGTCCAATAATAGATGATTTGCGGTGGTCAAATGTATTGCTGTTAAGTGTTGCGAAATATTTTGTGTAGTTTGTGTAGCGCAGTGGTTAAAGGTGCCTTGCAGTACACACGTGGTCGTTGGTTCGGGCCATGTACAGTTCCCACAAGGTCATCCTTCTCCCGGTGTCGACAAACCGGTACTTGACTTATTTGGAGGGATATCAGCACTGACTCGGTAAAACAAGCCATCGAACCAGAAGTGTGATGCTCCTTCGCTCCCAATTTTGGTATGCAACAAGGACCAATGTAGCTTGCTGCTGCCGGTACGAATTCCTCCTTGATTATCGGGAGATTTTGTTGGGTTTTTATTGAAAGACACAGTTTTTGTAGAACACTTCCTCCCCTAATACCGCCACCAAAGGCAGTCACCAAGTCTTTCGGACCTTATACTTGAAACTTGATACTTGAATGGTCTGTCTTCATTAGTTGTGCGGGCTCCAGAAAAATTTCCATCTTTTTTCGGAGTTTTGCTAGTTTAACGATTGTGGCTCCCTAGAGTCCCGAGTTCAAAGTCTGCCCCAGATCGTCACCACCACAGACGGTCGCCGCCTTTGTGGATCAGAGCGAGGTTTGACACCATGCGACTAGTTGATACCAGGACTGTTGTGGATCCAGGTATTGGTTTACTCTTAACTGGACTTGCTAATGGAAGCCTTGGGCTCCTTCTCAGCTTGGGAGACGCTGCCGGAGTGATGAATCTCCGTACTGTATATCGCATCCCGGCAACTAGGTGCACCTCTCAGCCACGATGAGGCGGTAAACCGTTGAGAAGTGTGGTCCTTATGGAAAACACAAACTCTTCTTTGAGTGATCCTTCCAGAGACCTTTACTGTAAACCATAATTTTACAAGGGGATTCCCACTCTCTCAACCATCAAACTGCTAAATCGTCAAGGTGTAAAAGTTTAATTATTTTATTATTGAGACATTTGCAAAATCCCGGACCACAGGTGTCTGCGGTGGGGAACGAACGCGCTACTGTCCCTTCCGGGGAGTAACGAATTCACCGCCACACCATGCGGGTCCTTCTCTTCGACTGCCTCTCAGCTAGTTCTATCGATCTGTGCCGTCAGCAGTCACCCATCAACGCGATTGAACGTGGGAGCCCACATCGGCATTGAACCCAGTTAAGCTGAGGCTGTAGTTGAATTCACAATGTTTACTTTTCATTTTCTGCCTTCTGCTTTTTTATGGCAGGGTATTCAGCGAAATACAACCACAAGATTGCTGAGATATTTGCAAAACTCCGGACCGCTGACGGCCGATTGCTGATGACAAAAGATCAATAGAACTAGCTGAGAGACAGGCGAAATGAAGGACCTGCATGGTGTGGTGGTGAACGCGTTACTCCCCGGAAAGGACAATAGCGCGTTCGTTCCCCACCGCAAGCACCTGCGGTCCGGAGTTTTACAAATATCTCAACAATCTTGTGGTTGTATTTCGCTTAATACCCTGCCATAAAAATAATAGAAGGCAGAAAATAAAAAGTGAACACTGTTTTATTATTACATAATCCAACATCATATATACGCTGTGCGGGTTCCACCTCTACCTCAATCCAATTCGTTTACCCGCATCCACTATCCACAATGGTCCGCGATCTTTTTTGCGTGTTAATTTGGCTGCTATTTGAGGCCATCTTCACCACTAACGTCATTGAAAGCTGGTCGAGTCTATTCTACTTGAAAACCTGAGATGGCAATGGTAGGGCGCCCACGCGTGGATTAGACGTAGTCAGCTTCACCACACAAAGCTGGAACCCACTTTCTGAACGCTGATGGGATTCTTTGTGGGTTCAGTGAGGTGTTGAAAAGTGTAGGTTGGGTCGTCCGCGTAACGAGTAAGATCACTACCTCCGTGCCATCCACCCCCTTGTGTAAAAGTAAACAAAGCAAGAATGTAAAATGCCACAATGGAGACTACTAGCTGGAAATGGCATTCGTTATTCTCCTTGCCCGAATCGCCTCTCCTCATCCTTTCTATCCAAAGCGTAACATCTACCTTACAGGTTCCAAAAGTGGCACAGGGTGTGATTCAACAGGCCGACTTCAAAGTTTCCGTTTCCGAGGTAATTCCTTTCTATTCGTGCCGCAATAACTTGTAGAGTGAGCATTTATGAGGCTGTTACTCGAGAGCATTCTTTTAGCCGAAGCAGTTCACGAAAATGAACGAAGCATTTCGAGCATTCAACAAAACGCTGTTAGTCAACTATCTGTTTATGAGACTTCTACTTGGAAATGCCCAGTACTTACCGACATACGCTAGCAGCCTGAAAGATTTGCCGGCAAGTTATACTCTTCACTCGTTCACCCCTATTCTTCGAAAAGAAGAAGAAGCGAACTTCGTTTAAAAATTTGTTTAAATTAAACGAAAGGACTTTTCAGTTATGAGTTGTATGTTCTAACAAAAAGGTAAACTTCGCAAATGAGAAAAAATGCTTTCTCTGTGTCTAAAATAGTAGGAAATAATCTGTAGGACCGTGATACTGGTCCAGTCTAATGAGGCGCACCATCGTTTTCGTTTTTGAGCACAAATGCTTTAAAGAAATGCATTCAACACTCCAGAGATTTTGTTCGTATTTTTTTTGAGCAAACGTATATTTTTGTTAACAAAGAACAATAACACCTCGCGTTTGCTCAAAAAAAATACGAACAAAATCACTTGATCAATGCCGAGGTTAATAGAAAGTCGGTCGTGGCAGTTACTCCAGAGATTGGCTTGCCAGGAAAGACCAACCAATGTCGTATTACCGTACATTGCAATAAGATCGCATTCATGTCGTTATCATAAATTTAGTAAGATTTTTTTATTTTGTAAACGATGTCTTCTTCAGGAAGATTTGCTGGTGTTGGGCCGAAAACGAAGCGGTTTTCGATTTTCGCACACCGCAGGCACACTGGCGGACACTCAAGCCGACTGTGCCGGCATGGCGAACACACTGATGCAGTTTGCGAACGGACGAGTTTTCATCGACTACCTTTACCCAGACGATAGCTCTAAGAAGATGATTAGAGAGTGAGCTTCATTTAAACGTTTATATCACGAACCATGAACCACTTTGAGTAAAATTCTTCCAAGTCCCAGCACAACTTCCATTTAACTTGTGGTTTGTTGGCTAGATTTTTTGTTTCCCTGAATTCTCGTGATGGTCCGCGTAGGGTTTCCTCAAGTGGTCACCAAGGATGTCGGCTGCTCTTGCTAGCATGAAGGAGATTTGCTGCCTTATGACTAAGTTATGCCTTTGATGCCACTTCTTATCGTTGGTTTTCTCGTACTTAGGCTTGCGTATAGAAACGCCGAGCTCGTTCTCAACTTGAGAGGCCTTCTGCAACAGCAACGACAACGATTGAGAGACCCTCGTTATAAAATGCGGTTCGACATCTTAGATTGCCACTCACGCAGATAAAACAATTAGCTATTAGTGAGGATCAAGTGACGATCGGCCGACAGCGAGGAATATATATGGAGCATCCGGGCCAGATAAGAATTACTTCATATCAACACGATTAGTTTAGTTTGAGCTCCACTTCTAATTCGCGGGCTACATCTATGATGGTTTAATACCAGCCACAAAATATAAAAGTGGTATCTATCTATCATGTTATTATTAACTCAAAAACTTCACAATTTGTGTTTCCATGGCTTTTTGCAGCGAATAATATGGTGCTGATCAAAAGCTTATTAGTTTCAGCATATCCAAAACTACATGCATTGATTCCAAAGCGCGCAGAGCCGGAAATTATTCATTGTTTCTATTTCAAACAAACTTATCTAATCATTCAACGAGTGTCGCTAATTAAGTAAAGAAAATGGTTTTATTACAAGCACATTGCCAACGATGTAGAAACTTGTTTACTCCGTTTTCCACCCATTGCGACTTTACCCCAAGGGATTGGAATTTTGGATATCCTGAACAAAATGAAATTTCCTGTAACAAAATGCGATGGTACCCCTCTTTTTCCAATTGATGGCGACAGCTGCAGCACTCACATTGAAATCTTCTTACTTTTTATTCCCTGTTAATATGTTTTTTCACGTCCAACGCAGTTGTTAGAGATCCACTGTAATAACACCGGATCAGTTGCTACTTCGATCCTCCGCCCTGGGGCCAATAAACTCTCGTTATCTCCGGGGTCGGCAAACTGGTACCAGATTTGTCTGGAAGCACAACAGCACAAACTTGATACATCACTAGGCCACCGCAAGTCATTGTAGTGTTGGACGTATTCGATTAGCTTCAACAATGCTTGATGATGTTGAGGGCATGACGCATTCCTAAGGGATTAATCAACGCTGCACGTTTTATCATTTATCGTTTATCACACTTTACACACAAACTCTATTCAATAATTGACAAACGCTAGTAAAAGAAAAGATCGTTTAATCGAATTGAACGCTCTGTAATGAAACCGATCGCACCAATCAAACCAGACAGTGCCATAGATTCCAGGACAGCCGGTGGCGTTATAAGTAACGTTATCCACTCGTTCCAAGGAATGATCGACCAGCTTGATTGGATGAGTATTGAAACGAAGAAGAAAGCCTACAATAAGACGGCGAACATCGGTATGGTTTTCCAATTTCTGTGAACAACTTAACAAAATCCCGAAACAGCTCAATATCTGGAAAGCGACTTTCATTTGATATCATCGTGAATAATCAATACTCCGTCATATTGACAAACGCACGTCTGATCATCATAGCACCTTTTATTATCTAGTTGCTCCAACGGTTTACCGTCTCATCGTGGCTGGGAAGTGTTCCTGGGTGTCGGGTTGTGATGTACAGAGGGGATTCACCCCCCATCAGGGTCTGCCAAGCTGAGAAGGAGTCCGACGTTTCCATTAGGAAGTTCAGCTAAGAATAAACCAACACCAGGATCCACCTCCGTCCTGGTATCGAACTAGTCGCATGGTGGCAAATCTCCTTCTTGTCCACGAGGGCGGCCACTACCTGTAGTGGTGACGACCTGGGCAGACTTTGGCCAGACTGATCTCTGGACTCCAGGGAACACAACGGCTAAATCAATAAAACTCCGAAGAGTGGAGAATATGGTCGGTGCCGCATAACCAGTGAGGACGGACCGTCCTAGTATCCAAGTATCATCTTCAGAGCAGCAGTGATTCGAATCGAATGTCTACAGTCACAGTTATTTTTCTCAATGGAGCACAGATAACAAAAACATCTTTGTGGTTTTCCACCCAACTCGATTCCACTCGTTATGACATACGTACCGCAAAAAATCACTGTAGGAATGAGATTTGAACTATTGCTGCTCCGAACAACGTGAAATCTCCTAAGAATTAGCTACAGTAAAAGTGCATGAAACGGACTCGTGTGAGCTCAGCGACAACGATGTATTCGATCTCAACCATGGCGATGTTGAGATATGAACAAACCAGGTGCCCCATGTGCACTTCGAATCCGCTGTTACTCTGTCCGGTAGTTCTTGTGTTATACACTGCACTATTGAAGCCGCTGGTTTGCCTTTCTCTCATTTGCCTTTTTCCAGTAGGTTTTTACCTGGAGGTGGAGGCGGATAGCGCCAATGGTGTGAAACCTTAGTAAAGCAAAGGCCCCGCTTGGTTCACTTAGCGTCTGACAGAAGGGTTAATAGATAGATATAGATAGAGAATAGATAGAGATTAAACATATTCGATTTCATTTTGGGTACAGAACGTTATCAAGTTGCACCCTGACATGAAGATGTAGAAAAGAAAGCGCTGGTGAGTGTAGTGTAGTGTTGCCCTTTCTCTCTTCGTTTACATATTTTCGAACCCACCCTCATAGCATTGGTATTATTCGCTTTAATGTGCCTTTTATTGCACAAACTTCTGTGCAACAAGAACACGAAATGTGCTGTCCATTTCAGTGAAAAACATCGCGTTTCCGGACTGGATCACTGACAACAAGAAACTAGATGCGTACTACCATGACCTGACTTTCGATACCAGCAAGAACTATTACGACATGTGGACTATCCTTACCACGTTAGCGTTCCCACTCCAACATTTGTTCATCAAAGTTTCAGCAACATGTGGCCGTGGTATATCTTTGGGCAAAGAACCGCAACTGTAAAGAAAGTGCCTCAGAAGTTCTATTATCTCTAAAGCGAGTTGATGAATTTAAAACGGCTATATAGTGAGTGCTAAATCTGTAGCACGGCGAGCTCCTCTTTAGTTTTTCATTTCGTTAGCACAAGCTTTACCAACGCTTGTCGGTGGGATGTAAAAACAGCTCACCTGCAATACTGTATATCTAAGGGTTTGCGAACTATCACAGTAAACTTTGCGCCTTTAGGTTCAACATTGAACTTCAGTATAAACAGCTGACTGCAGTCGCAACTGACCGGCACGATTTCCTTGGACAGCCCGGTACAGTGAATGCATGGTATCAGGTAACGACAGCAACCGTAATAGATAAATGTGAGCTGGAAAATTTTCTCCAACAATTTGGCATCTTTCCTGCCCGTTCCATGATCTTTCGTGCGACTCCAATGCACGTGATCAAATTCGAAATGTGAAGTTCTGAACATGCATTAGACACCTCGTGCAGTGGATGTGCAGTATGATAAAGAGGCCATGGAATTGTCGAGAGATTGTTTACAGAATTTGTGTTTAGCCTGAATTGAATTCGATCACTTTCCCAGCCGGTATTCTGCAACCACCGTATTTCCATCCCAAATGGCCCGCTTCTATCAATTATGGCGGAATGGGACTCGTAGCAGGTAACCCTGGACTATTTAAGTAACATTTTACCGAAATTCTTCAGGGAATACTAAAGAGTTGAAAACGTGTCAGTGTTCGAAAGACGGCAAGGTTTCTAGAGGAAAATATCGTGCCTTATACCTTCTATTCAATTTCTCCCTCAATAGCACCACTGCTTTTGTAGTGGTTCTTCTTACTGCGATTAACTGCATGTTAGCCACTTACTGTGCCCGGCAAACTACGAAGTAACAACGTGGTCTCATTCAGGTCATGAACTTACACACGGTTTTGACGACGAGGGTGTTCAATGGGGTCCTGAAGGTGCAATCACATTCCCATCGTGCGAAAACTGCACTGGTTGGATGGATCAACAGTCAACGGCCGGTTTCAATTTGATGGCTCATTGCATAATCGACGGTTCGTTTGATTATTTCACTCACTTTTTTACTTCTTCACATATTTCGTTCTGAAGTAAGGAAATGGGGACAGAAGAATTACGAACTTTTGATGTACCACCAATAATTTGCCAAATGACATTAATGGTATTCCATCTTAACCCTCCTCTCTTTCTTCAAATTAATTCCAGACCTAGCTGATCTCAGTAATGCAGTCTCAACTGTGCAGTGTGTCGCAGTTTCCCCAACTTTATTAGTTACCAATCCCACATTCGAATTCAATACATACATTTCAGAGTACAGCAAATTCTGTCCGATAGATCCTACTAAGTACAGTCCGAATTGCATAAACGGCGCACAGACGCAAGGAGAGAACATCGCCGACAACGGAGGTGGAACGGTTACCGGATGACATCTACGAATCGTTTGCACACCTTGTTTTCCAGGTGTTCATGCTGCATTCCGCGCTTATCGAACGCACATAGCTCTCGATGGACCAGATCCGCTGCTACCGGATAGGCTTTTCGGACAATTCACTCACGATCAACTTTTCTTCCTTAGCTTTGCACAAGTATGCTTTTGTTAACGATTCAAAAACAACACATTAAGTAAAGCAATATCATTTAACCATAATGTTGCTAAGATATTTGCAAAATTCCGAACCACTGACTGGTGTCTACTGTGGGGACCGAACAGGTTGTTGTCCTTCACGGGTCGAACGCGTTCACCACCACACCATGCGATTTCTTCGCTTCGCCTGTCTCTCGGCCTTCTTATTGATTTATTGACCTATAGGCACTATCAGCAATCATCCGTCAACGGGATTGACGGAAAGTTATGACATTTTAACTAATATGGTTAAAAACGCCTATTTATTTCTGAATAACCCAATAACGCCATAAAACCATACATACTCATAGCACGATGGAGCAAAGTCTACCCTGCAATCCATGTATGTTCACTACCCATGAAATCCTCTGGATACCAGAAATTAGTTTATTTTCGAAAAATGAGCAACTCCATAAGGACTAAAGGTTAGACGTCTTGGCGAAAGTGTTGATACAATGAACATAACTTCATGAGCGCTCCTGAGGTGAAACGCTCCGTTGTAGTTCATTGAAGTTTAATTATTAGACTCATTCCCACGTGTTCTCTTTTTCTAACTACTAAATACCTGTAGAAATATTGAGTCAAGGTAAGATTCCATTGCATAATTGGAACTTTGCCAAATGATGAAGAAGGCGCTTCGTACAACGTGGTCCAAGAGACAATATGTGAATTATTTATTACTATTATTTTAAGTGAGTCGACATATCATTCTTATTGCACTACTTCTCTAATTCGATTTCTTGTTTCCCATTTATCATGCACAGAGGTTGTCGCATTTTTATTTAACATTTGACTTCGGCTTGTGCTTTAAGCCATCGCCTTTGTCACCATAATGACACAATGAACGTCTAGTGAGCGAGACACTCCCTGCAATTCGGCGATAGCCTATGGGCACAGACCTTTTTGAATCGGAAAGAGATTTGCTGGCTTAAGCCTCGGATTCTTACAGAACACCAGCGATTCTTCTAACTATAGGTTCAGCGATTTGTCGAGGGACCGTTAGAGAAGATGTAGCAACAAGCTTAATCAAATAATGGGCAAAACACTCTCATAAATACTTTTTCAGACAGTGTATTAAAGTTAAAGTGCCGAATTTCCATACCTATCTACTTAATAACGCATTTTTTAGGTATGGTGTGAAAGGGAACGAACGGATGACCAGCTATATAAGCAGCTGATGGTTGATCCGCATTCACCAGCAAGGTACCGAGTGTTCGGCACTATTCAGAACTACCCGGCATTTCGAGCAGCTTACAATTGTCCTGTTAATTCCGTATACTCACCTGCTCACCATTGTAGCGTTTGGGTGCCGACCGTTAAACCATAATTTATCGTTGAATGTTTAGCTGGTTGATTTCATTGTGTTATCTATTCGTGCATGTAGGTCGAGTATTAGCGCTGTTCCTCATTCACTTGACCTTCATCATCAAAAAAAGCGAAGCGATATTTCCAACTTCATTGAAGATAAATGAAAGATTGTCGCTTTCTTGTTGTCTTTTTGCGACTGCACTAGACAAGATGGATTTATGGAATCAGGAGGTTTCTGCAGAGGTTCTGATTTTGCTGAAAGCCGGAAGGTGCAACTATGAATCTTTTCAGTGTATATGGCTTACGAGTTGAAATAAAAGACAGCCTAATCATAGAAATTAGGAAGGACAAGAAACTTAAGCGGAAAGTTTAAACGTTTGAAGGGCGCACGAATTTGAGTGTGAACGAATAAAAGCAGAAAGAAGGAAAGCAGTAACATGGGGCTATCACAGTGTGGAAGGAGGTTTGTGATAGATTTGTAACAACTTTGAGTAAGCTTATCAATAAAGTAATAGAAAGTTTATGGCTGTGTTTCGAAGCAAACGGAAATTGGATTCTCGATTTCCTATGCGCAAAACGTCACTAATTCGATTGGTTTGCAATTGACGTAAGACTGTCCGATATTCTGGAGACCTGCAGCATGAGGTTAAGTGTAGGGTGCTACAGTCTTTTATAAAAGAACGGTATTTAACTACGATATTCAGTCGTGCGGTTCTGAGTCTACTCGATTCGCTCCAATTTCACTGCTTCAAAGACCAACATCACTGGAAGAAACAGCAACTGTGGACACTCGACTGGAATTGTCTCGGCTCTGACGGAATGCTATGGAAACCCCGCAGCAAAGTTTTGTAACAACTTCGTATAGGCTTACCTATGAAAAAGAGCATAATTTAGTTTATATATATGTATATATACACATATATATGCGCGCGCATGCGGCGTAGTGGTCGGAGGCGCTCCGCAACACACGTGTGGAATTGATTCCCGCGCCATGGCAGGCCAAGCCTTCCATACCTCCGAGGTCAGCAAATTGGTACCAGACTTGTCTGGAAGGATAGCAGCACTAGCTCGATACATCGATAGGCCACCGGAGTCATTCTAAAGGCCAGATATGCATCCAATCACCTCCAAACGATGCTTAGTGAAGTTGAATGCACTGCGCATCTCTCAAAGATTAATCAGTGCCGAGAGCTTAATTCTTTACATATATATATATATATACATATATATATATGTATATATATATATATATTTTTGCGAACTATACTTGTTGAGCTGAATCGAGGTTGCTATAAGTTATCGCTATTGTTTTTGTTGCTGCTGTTCGACGGCTGGAGTTTCAGAGGTTTCGGCTTCCCTAGAGCCTCGACGTGTTTCATATAACAATAACCGTATAATTTTAACTTATTATTTACTGTTTACTCTTTTTAACGGCAGGGTATACATTGCGAAATATGACTTCAATGATGTCGAGATATTTGCAAAACTCTGGACTGCAGGTCGCAGAACTAGTTGGGAGACAGGCGAAACGAAGGATCCGCGTGTTGTGGTGGTGAACGCGCTACTCCCCGGAAAGGACAATACCGCATTCGTTCCCCACCGCATACACCTGCGGTCCGGAGTTTTGCAAATATCTCAGCATGATTGAAAATAGCCGTATAATTCGGTGAAATATCTATAGTGGTAGTGAGGATCTAACAGATAACAAAGCCGTTTTGTTAAAAGAAGGACTACTTACCGTGTCGTTGTGTGTGGGGCCACCCATTTGTTGTTTACGTGGGATGACGAGTGAGACCCACCCAGATCAAAAGATCAATCTAATAAAAGGTGCCAGCCCACGTGTGATAGCGAGGCACTCGTTTTTTCTCCATCGTTGGACTTCTGAGGTCCAACCAAAACGCTTCAAGAGTCCTGCGCGTTGATGTTCTTGATTTTAGGACTATTATCCTCACATTCGCCTCGAAATTAATGCACACCTAGGAAAGTACTTTGTCGAATTCCAACCTTCCCACCTAGATATTCTTTGATGCAAGCACAAATCAGTCTGCCCGCTTCTCCAATGTATTAACACTCCATGCCTTAAGTGAGAATAAGTATCATCTACCCCAACTCATGCACTCCACCGCCTACTACGCTAGGAAATCTGTCTGATACCCATGAACACCTCCCAGCCACGATGAGGCGGTAAGCCGTACGAAGGGTAAGCCAGATATGCACTCAATAACCTCTAATGGCGCTCAATAAAGTCGAAAACATGGCGCACCTTTCAGGGATTGATCAGTGCGAAAAGCTTCACTTTTATCGATTATTTATGCTGAGATTTATCGAAATTCTGTCTTTTGAGTTATTAAGAGATTTACCAGCAAAATATTTCCGATTTTCAAGAAACGTTTATCATTAGGACAAATAAATCGTCTTAATGCAACAGAAAACCCACTTCTGCCCAGCTGCTAAAAGTACCGAAATATTACCAGTTTCATCATACGTAGGAAATTACACGAAGCATGCGGCTTACTAGAAAATGCTCAACGAATCCTGAGCATTGAAACGAAATTACTACGTATTCCATTGCCATGCACACAAAACGAAATGTTTTCTCAAATAAGCAAATGTGTGTGTGTAAAGGAAATCATTGTGCTCAGTATCCGGAGAGGAACCTATGGAAGAGAATAGTAGCAGGGGCCATGTCTATTTGTAACAAAATTCTTTGTGGTATTAAAAACAAGTTAGGAAGCAAGTTCGAAAATTTATCGCTTTCAAAAACACCGAAACAAAAACGCGGTCATATCGTTTTAAGTAACAACCCTAAGTTACAGTGCGTACCCATGTCATCCAGTGTTACCGTGTTAAGAGGCATAGTGCTCCCAAAAAGTTGGCGTTCACCGATAGAACAGGGGACAAGTTTTTCTCCTAGTCAACCCATTACTAAAACAAACCAGTGTAATCTCATGTGCAGTCTCCATAATCATCAAGATCAAATGCGTTCCAAGGCTAGGCTAGAAAGGTTAGGTAATAAAATACAAAGAGGGGCGTCACCACAAATACATTTCCCACAAGCCTTCTTCTTTCATTTATTCTCGGGTGAAGTTCTCCAAATCTTTAATCACTATCGGCATAAAAAATTAGCTTCCAACGTTACACATGGAAAAAAACGTGATATGCTCTACGTTAGAGAGCTCATACATATTAAATCTATCCGACTATCTATTAGTGACAAAGCTAGGAGATTTGTAGTTATTTCTAGGCAGCTAGATGTTGCAATAATAGAAAAGCATCTCCATGATGTTTCTCTCTATCGACCATCCTCTGAAAAAGAGTGTAGAAATCAATCGACGGAAATTAAGTAGGGAGTGGGGGGATAAAGGCGGTGGACATAGAGCCCTTAGTTACTTCTCAGCTAAAACGTGACCATGCAACTTGCCCTATCGTGCACTTGTTCATTAAGATACACAAACTTACTTCTACTGATGACAGCTTCCCAAACGACCCGTCATCATTTAAGGTAATCCAATCACCAGTTGTACAGGTGAGCCAACAGATAGAATAACATGCTTCCTAAATGACCCGAGTTGATCCTCAACCAATTGCTGAAATTTGTGCCAACCCATTTGTCCAGCACCAAAATACTCCTAGACCACTTATGGTGTGCGAAACCAAATAGCAAACATTTAATGGAGTTATTCGATTTCACTTCACTTTAAACTAATGTGTAGAATCATTCCTCAACATAAGCCATTCTCGAGATCCTCGAAGAGCATTAAAAGAAAGTAAAAGTGTATGGCTTGTCGTCTCAACAGCTAATAGCCCTCTTAAAACAGTGCCTTAATTGTTCAATCTTTGGCTGACCGAGAAGATATTTTGCACAAATTAGATGGTTTTGCCATGGGACAGCGATTAGCAGCAAGTCTTGCCATCGCTTCTACGTCTAAGGTGGAAGCTCCCGCTCTCGATCGCCTACTCTTACCCTACTATCGATTCATAGATACTTGCTTCACCACCTGTTCCCCACAAGAACAGATGGATGAGAGCTTTAAATTGTTAAATGAACAGTCAGAGTTTATAAAATTTACGCGATATAGACTAACGCAGAACTGGCTTCCATTTTTAAACATTCAATAAACATTAAACATTCAAACATTCAAAAATAGAACTTTCAGAAAGTAACCACAACAAGTGGCGTAGGCAACCAAGGAGTAATAAATATGCTGGTGCACCACTTCTCATCCGTCACACATAAAAAAGCACTCATCAAAACATGTTTCGAAACTTGGCACCAAGGCAGATGCCACTCGGGTCAGATTAAAAAGTAGAGTTAAACGATGAAAGAATGAAGCTCTCGGCTTTGATCAATCCCTGAAGGATATTCCATGCATTCAACTTCATCAAACATCGTCGGAGATGATTGAATGCATATCTGCTCTATACAGTGACTCCGGTGGCCCATCGATGTGTCGAATCAGCGCTGCTATCCTCCCAGACAGGTCTGGTACCAATTTACCGACCCAGGAGGAATGGAGGACTTGGTGAGTCTTCCGCGCGTGATCGATCCCATGTTTATTGCAGCACGCTACAAACCACTGCAGTACGCACGTTCCCAAAAGACAGGTTATTCCTTAAAATGATGTTTCAAACCTAAATAAGATCCTTTCAAGCTATCTTTCACGGCAAGCGAAATAAGTTACGCCAATAAGAGCTGCTGAAGAAAAAGTGGTCCTGGAAATTATGTAACAATTATTGACATCCCACCCAATACCCTACGCCTTCGATTATTTTGAGACTGGCTCTTTGATCGTATGCTCAAAAAATCATGTAGTGTGTCCTAACTGGAGGTTAGGATATTGCGTGATTTATTTATTAGGTACGCTATTGCTAACATGTAAAGTGTTCAGTGAAAAACACATTGGAGAAGCGGGCAGAGTAATTTGTGTTTGCATCAAAGAATATCTAAAAGAGAAAACTTGAATTCGACAAGGTACTTCCCTAGGTGCGCATTAATTTTGAGGTGAATGTAAGGATAAT